TTATCATTTTTTGCTCTGTTTGTTTTTTGTGTGTTCAGAGTTTAGGGTTTAGAGGATAAGTAATGGTATAGCGTGTTGATCAATGGAAACGACTACGCTATTTATATGCATTCTGTTTTTTCTGTTTGTTTTTTGTGTGTGTTCTGAGTTTAGGGTTTAGAGGATAAGTTATAGTATAGTGTGTTGATCAATGGAAATGGCTAGGCTATTTATATGCATTCTGTTTTTTTGTTCTGAGTTTAGGGTTCGAAAAAAGAAATAAAAAAAATAATGCATATAAATAGCCTAGTTGTTTCCATTGATCAACACGCTATACCACTACTTATCCTCTAAACCCTAAACTCAGAACACACACAAAAAACAAACATAACAAAAATGATAGAGTGGCAGGATGTTTACAAGGTGGTGGTAGCCATGGTACCACTATAAGTAGCCCTAATGTTAAGCTATGGTTCAATAAAGTGGTGGAAGATCTTCACCCCTGAAGAGTGCGACGCTGTGAACTGCATCGTCTGCTACTTCACCCTTCCCCTCTTCACCTTTGAGTTCAGCGCCCGCGTCGATCCTTTCAAAATGAACAACAAATTCATCGACGCAGACACAATCTCCAAAGTCATCATAGTGGTTATGCTTGCCTTTTGGGCTATATGCAGTAGCAAAAGAAGCTATTGTTGGTCCATCACAAGCTTTTCTTTATATACATTGACTAATTCTTTGGTTGTAGGCGTTCCTCTTTTGAAAGCCATGTATGGCCTGAACTACCAATGATTGAAAAATCAAGTCGACAACGATCTGGACATACATGGCTTTTAAAAGAGGAAAGCCTACAACCAAAGAATTAGTCAATGTAGACAAAGAAAAGCTTGTGATGGACCAACAATAGCTTCCTTTGCCACTGCATTTAGCCTAAAAGGCAAGCACAACCACTATGATGACTTTGGACCTTGTGTCTGCGCTGATGAATTTGTTGTTCATTTTGAAAGGATCGACGAGGGTAGTGAACTCAAAGGTGAAGAGGGGTAGGGTGAAGTAGCAGACGAGGCGGTTTACAGTGTCGCACTGTTAGAGGGTGAAGATCTTCCACCACTTTATTGAAGCATAGCCTAACATTATGGCTACATATAGTGGTACCATGGCTACCACCATCTTGTAAACATCTTGCCACTCTATCATTTTTGCTGTGTTTGTTTTTTGTGTGTGTTCTGAGTTTAGGGTTTAGAGAATATGTAGTGGTATAGCGTGTTGATCAATGGAAACGACTAGGCTATTTATATGCATTATGTTTTTTCTATTTGTTTCAAAAAAAAAAAAAACATAATGCATATAAATAGCCTAGTCGTTTCCATTGATCAACACACTATACCACCACTTATCCTCTAAACCCTAAACTCAGAACACACACAAAAAACAAACAGAAAAAACAGAATGCATATAAATTGCATAGTCGTTTCCATTGATCAACACGCTATACCACTACTTATCCTCTAAACCCTAAACTCAAAACACACACAAAAAACAAACAGAGCAAAAAATGATAGAGTGGCAAGATGTTTACAAGGTGGTGGTAGCCATGGTACCACTATACGTAGCCGTAATGTTAGGCTATGGTTCAATAAAGTGGTGGAAGATCTTCACCCTTGAAGAGTGTGATGCCGTGAACTGCCTCGTCTGCCACTTCACCCTTCCCCTCTTCACCTTTGAGTTCACCGCCCATGTCGATCCTTTCAAAATGAACAACAAATTCATCAGCGCAGACGCAATCTCCAAAGTCATCATAGTGGTTGTGTTTGCCTTTTGGGCTAAATGCAGTAGCAAAGGAAGCCGTTGTTGGTCCATCACAAGCTTTTCTTTGTCTACATTGACTAATTCTTTGGTTGTAGGTGTTCCTCTTTTGAAAGCCATGTATGGCCAGATCGCTGTGGACTTGGTTGTTCAATCATTGGTAGTTCAGGACATACATGGCTTTCAAAAGAGGAACACCTCCAACCAAATAATTAGTCAATGTAGACAATGAAAAGCTTGTGATGGACCAACAATAGCTCCCTTTGCTGCTGCATTTAGCCCAAAAGGCAAGCCACTATGATGACTTTGGAGATTGCGTCTGCGCTGATGAATTTGTAGTTCATTTTGAAAGGATTGACGAGGGCAGTGAACTCAAAGGTGAAGAGATGGAGGGTGAAGTAGCAGATGAGGCGGTTCACGGCGTCGAACTGTTCAAGGGTGAAGATCTTCCACCACTTTATTAGGGCTACATATAATGGTACCATGGCTACCACCACCTTGTAAACATTTTGCCCCTCTATCATTTTTTTCTCTATTTGTTTTTTATAGGACTCTAATGTGGTTTTGTGTGTCAGGTGGTTGAAGACTATAGAACTCTATATATTATATACATGGGCACCGTTTCGTGTTTTTTTTTTTTTTTCTCTTTCACTTGGTTCAATGTGGCCTCATTTTCCTTTTGTCAATTTTCAAAATTCATTTTCAAATCAAGATGGTGAGTCCCTCGTCAAAAGTTCAGGTTTTGTTAAAAAATATAAAACAAAAATTCATACCTACTAAAAAATTGAACGAGTTTGATTGGTTTTAAAATTTTAAAAAAAAAGTAAAAACTTGTATGGAAATTGAATTCTACAATATTTGTATGCCTCAAAATTATTAATTTTTTTTTTAAATTGTATGAAAATTGAATTCTACAATATTTATAATTTTTTTAAAAATAAACCTAATGTCAATTTTCAAAATTCATTTTCAAATCAAGATGGTGAGTCCCTCCTCAAAAGTTAAGGTTTTGTTAAAAAAATATAAAACAAAAATTCATACCTACTAAAAAATTGAACGAGTTTGATTGGTTTTAAAAATTAAAAAAAAAAAGTAAAAACTTGTATGGAAATTGAATTCTACAATATTAGTATGTCTCAAAAATAACTAATTTTTTTTTAAAAAAAATTGTATGGAAATTGAATTCCACAATATTTATAAAAAAATTTAAAAATAAACATAACAAAAAAAAATTAAAATAGATATACAAATAGGTAAAAATAACAAATTTGATCTTTATCACTTCAATCAAAATCTTTCTTAATTAACAAATTTGATCTTTATCTCTTTAGTTAAAATATTTCTTTTGCCTTTCAATATTTAATTTTAAATTTTAAAAATCTTTAAAGTCTATCTAAATAAATCTAATTTTAAAATTTGAATTTTTTGTTTTTTTATAATAGCTTCAAACAATTTCTGAATTTTAAAATTTTCAAAAATAAAAAATGTCATAAAGTGATTTGGTACATCTAACAATATTTATGAAGTCTCCTTTACTCATTTTTCTAATTTTTAATTTTTTTTGGAAATAAACATAACAATTTTTTTTTTAAAATCAAATATACAAACAAATAAAATTAACAAATTTAATCTCTACATCAAAATTTTTCTTAATTAACAAATTTGATCTCGCCTTTCAATATCTAATTTTAAATTTTAAAAATCTTCAAAATCTATCTAAACAAATCTAATTTTAAAATTTGAATTATTTTTCTTTACAACAGCTTCAAAACCTTAAACGCAATTTCTCAATTTTAAAATAAAAATTATATTTAGCATAAAGTGATTGGTACATCTAACAATATTTAATTTTAAAATCTTTAAATTTCATCTAAACATATCTAATTTAAAAGATTTAATTTTTTTTCAATATCAAAAATAAAAGTGGCTCAAATCTATTAGTTATGGCATAATCTTACTGGATTTAACATTTAAATTTTAAAATTAACAAAAATATTGAGCTATATGATTTGAGGAATTCCAATACCTTATTCTTAATTTTTTAACTTTTTTACAAAATTTAAGTGCTAAGTGTTGATTTTTTTTTGGTTATCCATGATTTTATCCAAAATTGTTGGTTAATGATTGATCCCAATTATTTTTGTAGGCTATAATGATAACAATTGACTACCATCAATTTTAAATTTTTACATATTGTCTTTTTTTATAAAAATCATCATCAAGCATGCAATTTAAAAATTAAATATATTTTATTCTATTACAACTTTATTAAAAAGTAAATTTATTTTGTTACCGAAAATGTATATGCTTTTATTTTTAATAACAAGCAAAATTAAATTATCTTCTACTCATACATAATCTCTTATAAATATCTTAATATTTTTAAATTTTTTTATTATCCCACATTTCTTTGTTTTTGTTTTGTAGGATGTTTATTTTATTTTTATCTTCAATTTTCAAATTAGATTTAATATCTATCTTTTTATCTATATACTTATTTATATCTATATTTATACTATATACATAATCCAATACTAGTGGGTGACACACACAATGCATGTGCAAATCAAATAAATAAATAAATATACAAAATACTTGCTATATGTTATATGCAATTCAAATAGTAAAGAACCTTGTTATTAAATTTGTGGTTTTAAGTTCAAGTCACACCCTCTTTTCTATTTATTTTTTTTCTTCTCCTTTTTGTGAATAGAAAATTGGACACTTGGCATAAAGAGAAAAAAAGTTTCAAAACACCAAAGTAGGTGCTCCCATATATAATTGTATAGATAGATAGATAATGTGTTCTCTAAAATATTCAAAATCTCAATATTCAATTCTCAAACAGAGTTGAGATTCTTTTTCCTACGTACCACTCTTTCAAAACTATCTTTTTAATTTTCCTTCATCCTTAACTTTTAAAATTTTGTAGGGTAAATTGCGCTAGTAGTCCCTGTACTTTGGTTTTTGTGTCATTTTGGTCCTATAATTTCAATTGGCTCGATTTTGACCTTAAATTTATGATTTTGTTTCAATTAGGCCTAATTGATTACAACTCTTAGCAATTTTTTATGAAAAATATACATATAAGTGGCATGTGTCATATTTTTTAGAATAAAATTATAAATTTACTAAATTCAATGAGTTAACCTCAACTAATCTAGTGATTATTTTCCATCAAAAACACTAATGACATTATCAGTTGACCAAATTTACACAAAATTTAAAATTAATGGTCAAAATTGAGCCAATTGATAGTGGAGTGACTAAAATGATACAAGGAACAAAATGTAGGGACCACTTGTATAAATTGTCCGTCTTTTTATTATCAGACTCCTGATCTTTTCTTATTTTATTTTTTATTTTGCTTAATCTTCTCCAGTATCTTCATTTATCTTTAATTTCTTATTTCTTCATTTTTTTTAATTTCCAATCCTATCATTATCTCCAACTTCATTTTTATCATATTTTTCAAACGAACCCTTTTTTTTTTAATTTAACTTGCACAACACTTCTTTATAACTTGTTGGCCCCCACGCACTTCATGCGTGGGGTCGCATCGCTGTTACATCATAAACTAAAACAAAAAGTAAATACAAAAGCGGTTGCTTAAACATTAGGTAGAGGAAATATGACAACACAGCATCAACAATTAAAACTATTTAAATTGATTGAAATGGTAAGATGAAGCATGTGATCGAGCAGAAATTTTCAAAAGAATTCATGTGTTACCCAAAAAAAAAAAATCAGAGAACTATTCCATCCATGTGAAATACTGTCAAAAATATACTATCAAAAGTATAACTACCACATAAATGACACTGGAATGCAAATATTCTGCATTGGTAAATAGCTTACCGAGAATAATTCCATATGCACCTCTATAGTAAGAGCTTATCAATGTTCCAAACCTCTCATGTCCAGCTGCAAATCAAAAAATTTAATAGCCTCATATCTGAATATTGAATAATATATGTTTGAATAAAATAAGTTAAGTAAAGCTTGTCCAGAAAAAAGCTTTTCTAAATTGTTGTTTTTGTTTGTGTTTGAAGGATAGATACATGTCAATATCTAATTTAAGGGCTCTCCTTCCACAACTCCGAAACCACTCGAACTTGCACAAACACTTCAGCAGTTATTTTTTATCTCAACTTTTCATAAAGGCACTAGTAGGGTTTTGGTATTGGAAAGTAGCTATTTTAGCAACTGTTTTAGCCGTTTCACAGTGTGTAAAAAACTACTCAAAAAATCGTTTATGGAACATTAGATTACCTAACCGCATTTTTTATTATATTGCTCAAGGACAATTTGTAAAATTCAAAAATTCATTGAAGTATAGTGTAAGAAAGTTGAAAAACCACCATTTATAGGCTTTTTTCGTTTCAAGCCCAAAAATAACTTTAAAAGGCTTAACAAGCCAGGTTACTGTGAAAATGAAAAACAGTACCAAAAAAGAAACATTCCTGTCTTGAGTCGGAGATTTATAACAAAAACATCCAAGAAAAAACTAAAAAAATTGTTACATGTATGAGGAGGAAATACTATTGGGATCCAAGAAATTTTCCACATTGAATAAACAAAATAGTTCCAAATAGCAAGTCATCTATGTTAATTACCTGTGTCCCAAATCGTAAGTTTCAATCTTTTTCCACCTACTGTCAGCAGCTTGATCTTGAAATCCACACGTGGAAATGGTCATGGCAAGGACTTTAAGCTCAATATTTAATGAATTCAAATAAAAAATGAGTAAAGCCCATCAAAAGAAAAATAAAGTGCACATTGATTTTTCAGTTTATATCATTACCATGCTTCACATGAAAACTATATTAGCTAAATAAGCAAAAGGAAACTACATTTCTAAGCCAAATTGCTGCGTGGAAGTTCAAAAAACACAAATGGATAAAAAAATTGTGAGGCATAGTGGATGTTCACTGCCGAGACTACTGATCCAATAAAAGTCTAGAGAATGCCAAGTATATCAAGGGTGTATTGCATGATGTCCTGCATATTCTATATCAGTAAAGTGCCCATTAAGATAGCAAAGCCTTCCTATACAATTAGAAAGCATATTGCTACTGATACCAATGCTAAAGCCCCCTGAAATCTACTGTCCTACTTAATTCTGCAAATTAGCAAAATGCAACTCTGAGTGTGCATGAGCTCTGCATTGCTGATGCTGAACATCTAGATCATCCAAACTAAATCACCAAAATGGAATTTACAAATTGTAATAACATACTAAGTCGTATGAAGTATCTGCATGATATATGCCCCAACAATCATGTCAAGCGATAGAAATATGACATACATTGATCTTTCCTTTCCATTCTTTTCGGTTCTTTTCTTTTCTTTTTAGGGGTTGCTCTTAACAACAATATTAATTCCATCTATCCCCCTAATCACCCATTCAAATATTTTGAAAGGTTGAGTTAAGTGAATATGTATCATTTTCAGTCCAAAAAAAAAAAAAAAAAAAAAAAAAAAAAAAAAAAAAAAAAAAACTAATCTCTAAAAGAGTTTTCCTTTTGGTATTTTAATTGAAATAAATCAACAAACAAAGCCAAGAAAGTATGAATTATCCCAGTATGAGAAAAGAAACTTATGATTCCCAAATGGACAATTCAAAGAGCACAAGTTTGAAATCATAAAGAAGCCAACAATGATCCTCAGCACCATCATGAAAAAATGCCTAAGACCCATTACACAGGCATGAGGTGTACTTCCATTATTAGCCAACCCAAAAACAGAGCAATCAAATTTGATTCCCCTATTTATGTCAGTTAAATTCACCTTAAAACTACCAACATAGAAATTTGCAACTAAACCCACAATCAAATTTTCCAAATGTTCTATTTAAAATTGTCATAAACCCAGAATTTAAACCATGTTTATTGAAGAACCAACTACAAATATTCATAAACCAAGAAGAATCAAGTCCCACATGCACCCATGTGTTTGTTTGTATATATGTGTGTATGGAGAGAGAAAGAGTGGGAAAGAGATGTACCAATGGTGGGAGAGAGATCTCCAAAATCAACAGAATAGATAATGCTAAAAGAGGCACCAAGGGGGTGCAAATCGTATAAAAGAATAGACTAACATCTCAATTTTCAAAATTCACATAAAAAAATTCATTATGTAGTGCAATGAACAAGACAATATGAGGGAATGATTAAAATGATCTCCTATGATTTTTATCAAAAAAAAAAGATCTTCTATGATGTGCCTAAACTCACCACTGACAAAAGGTTACTTATGCACATGTCCAGCTGCTAATTGCTCCACCTCTAAATTCTTAGCTCCAATCCACCCAAGTGAAATACAGGAAAAATGAACCCCTGACGAACCTTCTATGAAATTAACAACTGATTTAGAATTAGAACCCATGTGGTGAGCCCTTCTACGCCCTGGATGTTTGAAGAATAAAGGTTAGTGAAGTGGTTTAAGAAATTATCTGCTCACAAAGTCAATAAAAACTGTATATAGTTCATAGTGGCAGTCCAGCAGGATCACTCAAAACTATGCCATAGTGTTTATTGATTACCAAGAATCACTAAATCTTGAATCACATTAACTTTCAATTCTAATGCAATAATAGTCAAGCCAGGCAATAAAAGGCAACGATATTTCATCGCTTGTCATTTTTCGAGTTACCAAAAAAAAAAAATTCAGATGTAAGAAAGCCATTCATCAGAGAATGAGAAAATAACATGCACCCGTTGTTCTCAGTCTCCATTCCTACAATTCGGCTACTTAAAACTTCAATTTGCCTTTGTTTTCATCAAATAAATCCCTACGCACTTATCCCGAAAAATAATCTTCCAAATTCTATTATACAATTTCACAAAGATAACATATGGCCACCTATATCACTGTTATTTGCCTGGGAATCAGATAGTAGGGTATATAATTGATTTCAATAAATCATGGTTATCCCCATTTCCAATCAATCTCAGTGTAGGCATGAAAACATCTCAACCATAAAGAAACACAATAGGCATCCCAACAACAAATATATGAATATCTCCCAACAAAAAAAATTCCAATAATAAGTGATGAGTGGTGAGGATCAATGCGGATACCTAGATTACTAACCAATGGAATTTTCTTATGGCAATTACCAGTTACGGTTAATGCTAATTTAGTACATTTTGCCCTATTATGAAATTTTTTATGGTTTAGACATATTGGCAAACACATGGTAGGCAAATTTTAAAGGGAACCAAATATGAATAAAACAAGAGCATGAATGTATGGCAGAAAACAGAATCAAATACTTCATTGAAGGTAGGATGAGACAGAGGAGAACATACCAGATTTTTTGGTTTGCTGCAGATGAGACAGAGGAGAACATACCGCTTGCCCAATCTGGAGGTCCAACCAATTCCCACAATCTGGAATCTGTATTATATCTACAGATTTTGGGGCAAAACCATAGCCACATCTTAGAGATCAATTTTACCTCTTCTCTTACAATCATGTGGAATACATACACATATCTGTGCAATTTCTTTCAGACAAGGTAGAAGGCAGAGAAGAGGCAACAGCCACATGTTGAAGCTAGAGTCTCCACTGCTTTCGTTTGTAGCACATTCAGAATAGAAACCATTGAGCCAGCAAACAGAGGTCAAGCGGTTCAATGTGTATGTTGCAAAGCGTTAGAAATGAAGCAAGCAGCAGCGTTAGGTTATAGATACTTTTTGTGTGACAAATTCATCAAAAACTCACCCAACACTTTTTTGATTACAATGTGCAATAAATTTTGGCACAACACTTTTTTCATGATTTCTTCTGCAGTTGCTTGAGAATAGGGAGCCCGGATTCTCGGCCGCCCTTCTCGGCGGCCGTCCCAACAGCCCCCCAAAACGACGTCGTTTTGGGGGTTTTTTTCATTTTTTTTTTTTTTCCTTTCTTCTTCTTGCAAGCAGCAGCGTTAGGTTATAGATACTTTTTGTGTGACAAATTCATCAAAAACTCACCCAACACTTTTTTTATTACAATGTGCAATAAATTTTGGCACAACACTTTTTTCATGATTTCTTCCGCAATTGCTTGAGAATAGGGAGCTGTTACAGTGTTCAACCCAATAAACCTATTTTTATAAATATACTTTTTAAAGCAATAACTATTTAAGAAAAGACAAATGCGATGAAAATATAAATAAAATACAAATTAATTTTTTCTCTATATTTTTCACCTTGTTCTTTATCTTTTGAATCTCTTTCCAAATCTATCTATGATTTAAACACAATCTTATATAATTATACTAGCGGTAACCCGTGCTATACACAGGTAAGTAACAAAATGTGGCTAAATATGTTAAAAATTAATAAATAAATACTATGATATTAATTTAGATAGGTATTGTCAGTAAAAATTATGTTAACTCCCAGTCGACAAGAATTACACAAAAGTTTTGACTAAACAATCAAACAATTGTGGAATTGATTTAAATGCTTCAAAAGAATAAGCACTTCTTTGGAACAACTGAAAGTTATAAAGTAAATGAAACAAACAACAAGTAATTTTAAAAGTGAAACTACTAGAGTTTACCGAAATTTACAGAGTAACGTAATGAACTACTCCTATTTGGAAAGAGAAACTACTCCTAAATTATGCTAAGTCTAAAACTAGCTTTTTTATTGTTATTTGATGTCCTCTCTTGCTTCCTCCTTGAGCCTATTTATAGGCTTTTGTCCACATGATTTCCACTGCTAGGCAATTTCTTTACCCATTTGAGTCCATGTGTTCCCATCTTTTTAGCCACTTTCTTTTGCTCTTTCAAAAAGTATTTCCTTCTTTCTAGCCATTTCCTTAACTGCTCATTCCAACTCTCTTTTTCTACCCCCCACACACTTCAACTTGAAACCCAAGACTTGCCAAGATCACCACCAAACTTCTATCGACATACAACTTTAGAAAATAGGTACAAACAACCTGCATAACAATAATAATAATAATAATATAAATATATATCTCCATAACTTTATATTAAAAATAATCTAGGGTTCAAATCGACGGATCAAAATTCACAGGCCACAATTAATAAAATTAGATTTGGCCATAATTGACAAGCCACAATCAATCAAACTAAATTTGGTCATAGTCGACAGGCCACAATCGACAGAAAAACAATTTATAGTTCGCTGCCCTTTTCTTTCTAAGGCAAGACTGATCTTCACAAGCACTGCTATATGTTCCCCATGAATTATTGACCCATATTGATAGGTCATCTTGCCATTTACAAGCACTAAATATCTTTTGAAAATTGGCCCATCATTTAACTGCTTGTAATTGATCCACTGACTACCTTCAACACATGGCACATTCTTTGGCCCAGGAAGTAAAACATCTTCAAGCTTCTTTGCCACATGTCATAAGCAACTTTTCACTCCCTGTCGACAAAAGAATTACAAAAAATGGGTGCAAACAAGTACTTAAATAATAGATTTGATTAAGGGGTATTTTTTTTAAGGTCCCTGATATTATGATTTTATAGTATAAAGGACATCAAATATTTTCATGATGTCTAAGGTCCCTTAACAAGATAAACTATAAGAATATAGAAAGTGAAAATCAAATAAATCATAGAAAAAGAATAAATTTAATTAAAAATCAAGAGCAAGAGTGGACCCTATAAATATAAGATAAAGATTAAAAAAAAATCAAGTGTAAATTTAAAGATAAATTATAAGCATATAGAAAAAGAAACTTAAATAAATCCTAGAAAAATTGGGTAGAGAGAAATTTAGTAAATATCAAATGAAGATTGGAAAAAAAATCAAGTTGAAATTTAAAATTTCAAAAATAAAATAAAATAAACTTGATAATAAAAAATAATAAATAAATAAATAAACTGATATAACTCTAATAATTGAAGAACTAGAGTGAATAGTAGTTTAAAAATTGAGTAAATTACAAATACACCCCTTGAGGTTTGCTTAAAATACGAATTGCCCTCTGTGGTTTGAAAAATTACAAATACCTCCCTGTCATATTTTTTTATTTAACAGAATTAATTGAAAAGCAAAATTTCTAACTGTTCACCTATACAATAATAAAATTATTTGAATTATTAATTGAAATAAAATTTTAATATTATTAAAACTGTTAATTAACTTGATGATTTATTAATAAAATGGCCTATTTGTTATGAAATTAGAAACCTTAGGGGGCATGATGTAACTTCTAGGACCACAGGGGGTAATTTGTAATTTAAATAAATCTCAGGGGGTGTGTTTGTAATTTACCCTTAAAAATTAGATAAAAGTGAAATGCCACCTATAATTTTTTAAAATTTGTAAATAAAAAAAAATAAAAAAAATAAGAACTAAGGTAGTAAGTTAAAAATTATACAAGAGTTAAATGCCACCTATAATTTTTTAAAATTTAAGTTTTGCATAGTTAAAAAAAATAAGAACTAAGGTAGTAAGTTAAAAATTATATAAGAGTTAAATGGCACCTATAATTTTTTAAAATTTAAGTTTTGCATAGTTAAAAAATAAGCATTTATGTAATCTTATTATAAAAATTTTAACTCTATTTTTTTGTCTACTATCTATAATTTTTAACAATTGTTGTATTCTAAAGCTATTTATTTACAACAAAAAAAAAAAAAAATCAAGGATCACCTTTTTAAAATTTGTAAATAAAAAAAAATAAAAAAATAAGAACTAAGGTAGTAAGTTAAAAATTATATAAGAGTTAAATGGCACCTATAATTTTTTAAAATTTAAGTTTTGCATAGTTAAAAAATAAGCATTTATGTAATCTTATTATAAAAATTTTAACTCTATTTTTTTGTCTACTATCTATAATTTTTAACAATTGTTGTATTCTAAAGCTATTTATTTACAACAAAAAAAAAAAAAAATCAAGGATCACCTTTCTATTTTTTTTTATTTTTTAAATTTGGTTTTGTTTTGTGTCTATAACCTATAAATTTCAACAACTTTTGTATTTTGAAGCTACTAAATAAATAAATAAATAAAAATAGCATCACTTTTTTTAAACATCTTACTTAATTTTATTTTTACTTTATGTTATATGATAATATAATCATTTATTTTAAATAAAAAGTCTTAAGCATAGAACGTGGATGGCATGAATATTTCTTTCGCAATGACACATGAATATAAAATTCTACAATGATACAAAAAAATTTCTTACCTATGATTTTGGTCTAAATACATAAAACATATTTATTTAAATTAAGTTTTAAAATTTTGATTATTAATATGTAATGTGTTTATAATTTCAACACAAACATAGTTGAATAATAATTTTGTATATAAGAAATTAACCAAACTTTTATTGAAGTATCACATATTGAATCTAATATGTATACAAATTACATGACATTCACTAATGTAATTCAAATTAACTATTAAATAAGAATTAAGTAAAAAAACATGTATATTGAGTTTTTGTTCCTCGAATGGATCCCAATGACCCTGTCTGCAATTAGTTTTCGTTATATAGACATATATAAAGAGTATTCTGAATTGAAAACAAAGTAGTTTATTTGTATATTTATTAGGAATTTTGAGATCCAATCTTGTGCTTCAAATGTTCCTTTGTACAGATGATTTTTTGCTGCAAAAGAGAAACTCAGCATTTAAAAACTTAATCTCACTTAATTAGTGAACTCACTACATATATGCAAATAAACTCATGAAGATCTCAAATAGAAAAATAAAAATGTACGCAAAAATATTGTAGAGTTACTACATAATTAAGTTTAGTTACATCTGGATTTAAATTGAGTGCCCTCCTTATATATTACAACAAAATCGAACACATAAATTAATATAATTGAAGAACAAAATATAATAAAAATAATAATTGAGATTGAACAAAAACTTCTTTCAAACTCGTGAATGTGTTCCAAACACTCTTTGTAACGTCCTCAAAATAATACATAAAACCCAACATTTATTGACATGCACAGACATAAGAGAATAAAGCATATTTCTATTTATCAGAGTATTCATTACAAAAGTATTACATGTTGACAACAAAAGTAAATGCCCTACGGGCTTACAACTTTCCAAGCCAACACTTGGTTACAAAAGAAGAGAGTACTAGCTCAAATACACATTAAGCCCATGGCTTGAATTTACATGTAATACCAAAAGAGAACAACAAAAAGAACTATCAGTCCCAAGCCTCCCAAGCTACGTCCTTGGAGGTGGCATATCGCCTGGACCTGAAAATGATGTCCCATATAAGGTGAGCCACAGCCTAGTAGAGATATACTAAACCAAATGTAAGCAATGACTAAAACAATAACATTTGATAGATGGTTAACACTTATAAACCAATTAAATCACAATACAGTTCCATGACAATTATGTCCATGTTACATTTGCCTTTCCTTTACTTATCAAGTCTTCAATTCATAACATGGCTCAGAACTTGGCCAACAATTTAATGAGACTACAACTCATTTTAAAGTACTTCCCTTTTAAATGAGATAACAACTCATATCAAAACACTTCCATATTTCACAATAGATACACATATTTGCTGTATCAATGACATATTAAAACACTTCCATACTTCACAATAGATACACATATTTGTTATATCAATGGAGTCCATCCCCCATCTCCTCCCAAACCGTGGAGTACATCCCCTATCTCCTCCCACACATTACACATATTCCAAATATATAAACAATTATCATATACAAGGAAAATTCAATACACATATTTGATGTATTATTCCAACCGTCATATTCAACGACATACTCAATGTGATTAGTTTCAGTTTTCCCTAATCAACATACAGTGTCTACAACAATCAAGACTATCCTCCACCGATAGCCCAAAGC